TGTCCACTTATTAGCATCTCTAGACTGCTTGTGGCCTGGTACGGTCCTAGGGAAGATCCTGGAGCCCCTGCCCTGGGCACCTAGTGCTGCACCAGCCACACAAAGACCCTCTTGGGGCTTTCAAGTGGGACACACATTAAAACCACCACACGCATGCAGGGTATGCTGCAGGAGAAGACTGTTCAGGTCTTGATCTCTGAAGAGAACTACCAGATTTAGACCACTGGGAGTAAACCAAGGAGTAAGACTAGGCCAATGTTGACTGCTTTTAATGTCATCATCTGCGGAGCAGAGATTCTTAATACTTACCTCAAAACGCATTCAACCAAAGTATTTTTAACCTTGAGAAGAGACCAAGAAGGCAGAACAGTCCTAATGCTCATTGAAGTTTTGCTATGAAAAGTTACAGGTTACCTTAATCACACACTCACAGTAATCCCATGACTATATTTGACATTTCTAAATAGAAAGTGGTTATTCTTAACTCCAGTTTTCGGGGCACTTTCGTCATATAGCTTTGCTGAATGTTAAAACACTGCAGCTGAAGTAAGTAATTTTTTCAGTACTTTTTACGCTCATGTGGCAGTACCACGCTATTAATGTTAAAAATGATACAAATATTTCACAGAATCACAGGAAAAAAAAAAATCAGCTAGAAGTGACCTCTGGCAGTCAGCTGGTCTAGCCCTCTGCCACGATGCTGGCAGAGCAGGCTGCTCAGGGCCTCACACCGTTGGATTTTGAGCATCTCCAGGGATGAGGAGCCTGTAGTTCCTCTGGGCCCTGTTTCGGTATTTGACCACCCTCACTGTGAGAATTTTTCTTCCTAATACATGATTTTCCCTGCTGCAGCTTGTTTCTTTTACCCTTATCCATATGATAATTCTTGAAGTAGACAACTGCTAGTCTAGCACGCTGTGACTGAAAGACAAGCTCACATCGTTCTACGTGCATCAGAAGGTCTGAAAGCAGCACTCATGCTTTGCTGTGTACTACAGCTAAAGAGCACCTACTGCACTTTAGAATCGGGGTAGCAAACAGTTTTGCTCTCAAAAATCCCTTCTTAATGTCTCCCCTTACAGATATGAAGGTAGAGTTTAATCTTAATAGAAGTAAATGTCTTTTTATATAAAATTCCATTAATTATATCACCAGCGTTATTTATCGATTATATTATTTAGGATTTAGGCTTTAAATAGAGCTTCTGTGTTGCTCAGTTAAAACACACAAAACATCAACCAGAGCCAGCGTCTGCTAGCTTACAGTCGTGTTAATTGGCAAAACCAAAATGGATTTATGTAGTACTTCTGACTGAATAATCACACAGGTCTCAAGAACTTTAAGCCTCCTGGTTCCACAAAGCTCTCTGCAGCACAAAACTGACTTTTACGTTTAACCTCAAAGCTTTTGCCGAGCAGCAGGATGAGAGAATGCCGGCTGGCCCTGCTGAAGCGTGGCCAAGGCGCTCTCTGGTGGTTGCTGCCCGCAGATTCCTCGGGGAGGCAGCAAGGAGAAGGTGGGGGAAAAGGAGGGGGGGAGAGACAGAGAGAAACATTTGTTTTAACGCAAACATAATCTTTGTGAGGAGGAAAAAACAAACAGACAAAACAAAACAGAAAAAGCAATCCTCACTTTCTTCTTCCGAATGTCTGATAGCCCTAGCTGTTCAGCTATCCTGCACGGGTCCAGCACAGGTGTTTGTATTGCCAGAAGTTAGCTGGATGTTAAACTGGTAGGGGGGAATCTCCAAAAAGACTGCGGGTTTGGGGTCTTTCTTATTCCGACCAGAAAGCTGATGCGCCAGCTGACAGCACAAATGCTTGTGTCAGTTGTGGCCACAACTAGGAACCACTTTGATGTGCCAGTTTAGATGCATATCAAAGTATTTCTTACTTAACAGAACAAGATGATGAAGGTACCTGTCATGTCTTTTATTTCTCTCAGTTTGTTCAGGATACAGCATCGTAGCCAGGGGAAAAAGATTCAGACCTCCTTTTCAATTGCTGAATTGTTTCTTGTTTGATTTTTATTTATTTTGCTTTTTATTTATTTTTAACATTTTCTCAGATTGTTGGAAATGCCAGCCAGTATTAAAGTGAAAGTTAGTACATTAATGGAAATATTAAAAAGTTTTTAAAAAACTGAGTTGAGTAGAGGGCCCAAGGAGGCATTAAATAACAGGGTTTGTTTTGGCCTCACCCTCCCCCAAGATTTTTATAAGAGCAAATAAAAACATTTTTTGCCTTTGACATGATTTTATGGCAAATTAAAGAAGTTTCTGTAATTTGATTGCTCTTGCCAGTTATAGAAATTGTTTTAATGCTTTAGCACAACAAATGTCAAATACGTATTGGAAGCAGTTAAATCCTTTCACCATGAAGTACCAGTTTGTACATATTTACATTTTAAACATCTACTGCAAAAGCATTTGCTGTATCTTATGCCTCTTTCCATAGGCAATCTTCACCTAAATACTTCTGTGACTCAGCTACTTGTGGGTATGTTATAGAAACATTCTTGTTACTGAAATACAAAAATAAGGTATTTATCTGAATGTGCTGATATCCTAACCGCAGCAAAGTGTTCAGTGTTGTTTTATGTAAAACTGTGAATTCCAAGATAGTATTTATTTTGACTTATGTTAGATGGCTTCTGCTGCTGAGAAAGAACCAATTAATCTCGAGTTTGAAGATACACTTTATGGCTATGGAACATTGTACCAACTTCTGTAACTGGCCCACACAAGCACGGGCACAGAGAATTGCGTTTTTTCACTGACACACAATAAAGTCTACTTCATAGTTACTATTACTCAAATACATCACTTTAGAAAGTTTGAAAACATTATGTCAAGCTTCATTATCAAACTCCTGTTATCAGAATAGGTATGTTATTATCCATCTGTGGCTCTACTTTGTATGCCATTAATTAATGGATTTTCATTTTTAATTTGAAGTTATTTGATTTCCACTATTCAAATGAAAGAATAAAACAGAACTCACCTATATTTATGGAAGATTAAATGATGTAGCCTTAACAGATAAATGTTGTCCTGCATACTGTGTATTTTTCAAACAAGCATTAGTGCCTAAAAAGTTTATTCCAGCTATTGTGATACTCAGGGCCTTGCTTATTGTATGTATACAAATATAAACATAATTTTTCCAGCATTGTTGCATTGTGCTGTCTTACACTGTCCTTCATTTTCACTGAAATGTTGTCTTGTTTACTGTTACTGTTTGTCAAAATTAAAGATAATTATTTTATTGTGCAGAGTACACCTGGCTTTCATTTTTGTAACAGACATACAGTCTTTTTCCTATCTTTCCTTTGAATGGGAACGGCAGAAGCCACCACTTGCTATTCTGACTTTACAGAAGCCATTTAAACCCCAAATTTGCAATGGTCGCGCTAAGACCTGAAAAACTTAAATAACTTTCAGAAGACATATGTTCTTTGAAACTAACACATACATTTGGAGCTACGTGTCTAGGTGCTGCAGCCAGCAGGTCTTCTGGCAGGGGACAAGGATAATGCAACATGTACTTGTTGCTCCTGTGGCTGCACTCACATATCTATCCTGATCTCAAACCACTCAGAAGCTAAAACACAGGAGCAAGGTAAACGGTGCAATTTAACCTCAGGGCATGGCTGAGGTCCATCACTGTGCTGCAGAAAACCGCACAACTACAGAAACACCTCTGCAGAAACCGAGGTCCAGGAGCCACTTTTGAAAGTGCTGGGGTCTCTAAGGCTAAGGCTTGGCTTGCCCAGGAACGCTGGAAAAGGCTGTGGCACCATCCTTTCATGCTCTCTGTGTTCATACAAGTCGTATTTTCTAAGTAAAGCAGTAGCCTTACAAATGCAAATACCAGATCAAAGAAAGGAAATAGAAACCGTGGAAGCCACAGTGACAATTTAGTCAAGGTTTGACTATACTCAATTACACCAGATTAGACACACCTCTGTGCTTATTTCAGCTTAAATCTCAAGTGAAACACCTCAAATTAAATCCATGCATCCAATATGAGCATTCAGAGGCACCTGTGGTGATGCAAAACTATCTTTAAAGTTCTTGCTAGCTTATCAGTGCAACTTCCTCATTTAAATACACTTTCTGGTCACTGGCTTGAAAACAGCTGAACTAATTTAATCTAGAAAATGAACAAACAAGTTTGCATTCCAATGGTCTTCACATATAACACGCCAAAAATTAAGTTTTAGCCAGAAACATACTCTAAGGCCAACAGACTGATTGTAATTTAATCCTTTCTTTTTTTTTTTTTTAATGTGCCTTACAAAAAACCCCACATATTTTAAACTTTTTAAAGTGGTATCTTATGTAATACCATTCGTCTACTAGCACCTTACTGAGAAGGTGCAGACCAGTAAGTCATCACTGACTGGCTAACAGTTCTGGTCCCTGCTAATCTGTCCTATATTTGGACGTTACTTACTGGTAAAAAAAAAAAAAAAGAAAAAAGCTCTCAAGAGAAAAATAAAAAAACCCCAACCCCCAAAAGAACAACCGAAGAAATCAAGGAGAACTAAGTACACTTACAGATGACTTAAAGCTCTAAAGAACATTCTTAATCAGAGAAAATGCTTCAGTCAATACACAGTTTTCATAAGGCTGGCAATAACCCAGACAACACAACACGGTCATCCTCAGCATCTTAATATTACTAAATTCAGCCAAATTAAGAAGGTCTCAGTTTAGGTCTTATGTCAAATTTGCAAGGACTCCTGAAAGATGATGAGAAAATTAATTCAATTGTAAGTTTTTAAGCTATTGCAAGGTAACGGGTATCATTGGTGCAGCTGCTATAGTTGAAACCATGTTTCTTTCTTTGTCTTATACTCAAAGGCAAAATTAATTGCATGGGAAAGTGTTACCATTGTAAGTTGTTGCTGGTCTAGGTAGAGATGTTAAAATAGGAAAGGAGATTATATATTTAGGGACATTGTCCATTTAACAACAAAGAAATGCAATAACTCACCTGGATGTAAGCATTCTGAATTTCTACCAACTCTTCACCAAGTGGAACAACAATTTTTTCCACGTGTCGCTCATGAGAATAAGGCTGAATTTCCGGAGAATCTTCAGCACACAGTTCTATCTGAGCAATGAGTAAGTTGGAAATAACTTGCTGCACAGCCTGTTTGAGAAGCCACAAAAAAGCTCATATTTGCTTGTTAACACTCCAACAATACAAGTCAATTTCACATGAAAGTAACTATTTCCATATTTTAGCAGGCCTTGAATATAATTGTAAAGAAAAGATGAAAAATGAAAGACTCTCCACTTAAAGATCTCAAGTAGTATATAAAGAGTTAATATGGTAAATTCATGAAGGCAAAAAGCATGCTACTGCCCGAGGGCTGGAGTGACAGAACTCTCCCTTTGGCTTTGGGTGCACCACCAAATACCTGCCAAGAAGGAACCTGGACCTAGGAGCTTAAACTGAATCTGGCTGTCCATCTGCCTTAGACTGAAAAGCTCAGCCTCATGTTTACCCAACATAGTACACTGACTAGAACAGGAAAGCCATTTTGAACTGAGAGTATATTCTTTTTGGTTCAAGTGGGTTTGTATTCCCAAAACCCAGAAGGTATTATTTCCTTTTAGAAAGGTCAGGAAATAAATAATACAAAGTCTATAGCATGACAAAGACAAACCCTCACCAACGAATGGATTGTAAAGAGATTCAGATTTTATGTGGAATTCTTATAGACTTCAGTGTCCTGCACACTGTTCAAAGTGTATCAAGTGGTATTAAACATAGCTTCTACTGAAACTTTATTATTCCAACCGTACAAGTAGATTTGACTCACCTTTGTGTCACTGCCTGGTGTGGCACTTAGGGCCAAGATCCGAAATTGATTTGTATATTTGCTTAGTTCCCTTACAACCTAAGAACAGGAAAGCTTCCGTTAATATCCTTAAAGGAGATTATTTGCTACATCAATGAAAATATCCACTAAGGAGAAAGAGCTTAACAAAATATTCTAAAAAGAGTATATCTAAATTCAAATGGGAACCAGAAGTGTTCGGTTTATAACCATTTTATCCAAGAACACTTAATCTTGATTAAGTATATTATAACCCCAGTCCCATTCAGCAGAATAACCTTGGTAAATTATGAAACTATTTTTCACTTGATTTAACAAAAGGATTAAGAGAACACTAACTCAAGCGAGCTGCCAAAAAGCAAGTTTGAAGAACCACTCTAAAAAGTAAATGATGGATTATTAGTCCCATGCAATCTGAACGGAAATTAGATGACAACCACTACGCCAACTAGTTGAGCCTCACTTAAAAAAGTTAGGTTAGCAACTGGGAAAATGGCTGAATATTCCTTAGAACTCCCAGGTTCTCATTCTACGACCCTTCCTAAGACCAAAGCTGGGACAAGTGCAACAGCTGCTGAACATTCAAGCAACAACCAAATTGCCTCCCTACTTCATTTACGCCTTCTGACCATCCACCTGGTGCTGCACAACAAAAAATTACAAATAATACGACATCACGTAAAAGCTACAGAGAATAAGTGAACGGAGACTAAAGAGGAATTCAGTTTGTGCTGATAAGTCTGCTGAAAATCATGCAAAGGCATAGCTAAAACAGAGTACAAAGCCTGCCAATTTCACAGCCATACTGACAAGGGGTGACAGAAGAGATTTTTCTTGGCTATAGCCAATTCATTAGCTCAAAAGCTAATGAATACAAGTCTTAGCTCTGGGTTACAGAGCAATTCACATAATAGTAAAATATTTTAAGAAAATATTTTTTTACAGTATTTTGAAATAAAATAATCTATCAAGTTAAGTTTTTTAAAAATGAAGTTGCTATAGTTCTGAAAAATTATAGAAGAAAATTGCAACGCTGGCAAACCAACACATACTGTTTTAACTTGGCAAGCTAACATCTCTTTTCAAGCATGCCAAGTTAGACAAGCACTAAAAAACACCTACTTTCCTCTAAAGAGGCCTAGTAAGCAACTATACACAACTCCACATATATTCAGTCAATTTCTCTAGTATATAAAACTGACTTTCTTTTAAGCCACGTATTACTATGAGATTAAGTCACAATAATGCAACAAACTCTTTGCTAATCAATACAAAACCCAATTTAAAAAAGAAATCTTGAACTCATCTTACTAAAATAAAGAAATTTACAAAAAAAAAAAATCGCACTTTTGTCTGAAAAAAATACCTCCCCCATTTAAGAGCTACTCCAACATAGCACAAACACACTAAAGTACACCTGCAAATACTAACACATCTGAAAGAACCAGCATATTGACTTTAAATTGTCCCAGTCAAAAAAGTATTTTGAAACATAAAATACAATTTTATTCAGACATTTTAAAAATTCCCACCTAACCTTACCAGGTTTTACTACAGGTTTTACTTAAAAACAAGGCACTGATGACACAGAGGACTGTTTGATCTCTTTCAAACAAAGCTAAGGACCTTAAGGACAGCACTGACAACAATGACACTTTATGGAAATCCTGTAAGTGATTTTGGGGGATCTTTTTTGTAATTGTGAGACAAGAGTGGGGTGACTCTAGTATTACCTGACAGTAGGCGTGATTTCCAAGGGCTTTGTGGGCTTCATCAATAACCAAACATTTAATCTCTACAGCAAGACATGTCCCACGAGAAAGATCATTCACCATTATCTGAGGTGTAAGGAAAAAGACTCTCTTGGTAGTCCAGAGTTCCCTCCGACTGAGGGCTTGGGTTCCCCCTGGAAATTAAAGAAATAACATTAGCAAACTGTTCTGCTGAGAATACACCCCGACCCATGACCTGAGAGCGACAGCAGAAGGCTGACAGAGCTGGCAGACACATGTTGGCTTTGGGAAATGAGTGCCTTTTAAAATAGCACACACCTTGATACTATTCCCATTTTCAGGAAAAAAAAAAGGCGAATACAATGACTAGTAAGACTTTTTTTCATTAAAACTCTAAATCCAGAACAGGGAAAACAAGGCTAGAAAGCCAAAGATGCACCCTGGCCTCCCACAGCCAACCTACACCACCTCTGACAACGGGCTGCCCTGAAGAACAGGTAAGGGATTCAGCCGTTAAGGCTGTTACTTCAGTAAGCAATGAACTGCAGTTCATGAGGTTGAAAAAAAGGGGGGGGGGGAAAAAAGCCATTATCCTTGGCACTAAGTTTTATACAGAGCATATTTTCCATGCATGCAGACATTTACAGCTCGGTGCAGAAGCCCTGAGGCTGTACGGACCAGAGGGCTGCACCCCAGCGCTTCAGAAAACGTGTTCTTCGAGTGCTTCATCACCCTTACACTGGTGACTTAGAATCATAGAATGGTTTAGGTTGGAAAGGACCTTGAAGATCATTGAGCTCCAACCCCCCTGCCCTGGGCAGGGACACCTCCCACCAGCCCAGGTTGCCCACGGCCACCTCCAGCCTGGCCTTGAACACCTCCAGGGATGGGGCCTCAACAACCTCTCTGGGCAACCTGGGCCAGTGCCTCACCACCCTCACAGTGAAAAACTTCTTCCTGATGTTTAATCTAAACCTGCCCTCTTCCAGTTTGAAGCCATTCCCCCTCGTCCTGTCACTCCATGCCCCAGTAAAAAGTCCCTCCCCAGCTCTCCTGTAGCCCCTTTAGGCACTGGAAGGCCGCAATAAGATCTCCCCGGAGCCTTCTCTTCTCCAGGCTGAAGATTTGGGGGGCTAACTACCGCAAAACCTCAGGTTAAAACCTCAAAAGTTCCTCGCCCTAAAAAAAAAAAAGACTTTTTTTTCTTTTTTTTTCCCTTTTCCACTGAGGCTTTTCACTTTGTTTGACCGTCTCTTTAAGCCAAGCAGCCTCCATGTTTGCGGCTGCTCC